TTTTTCCCCATTTTCCCCCATTTTTTCCCCATTTTCACCCATTTCCCCCAATTTTCCCCCAATTTTCCCCCAATTTTCCCCATTTTCCCCCATTTTTCCCCATTTTTCCCCAATTTTTCCCCAATTTTTTCCCCATTTTCCTCCATTTTTCCCCATTTTCACCCATTTTTCCCTGATTTTTCCCCATTTTTCCCCATTTTCCCCTATTTTTTCCCGCGTTTCTCCAGGTTTTCCCGCTTTTCTCCATGTTTTTCCCACTTTTTCCCGCTGTTTCCCCCCTCCCTGGGATTGGATTCGTCTCTCCCAGCTCCTTTTTGGCTTTTCCATGTCCAAATTTCCCCTTCCCCAAATCCCAAATCCTTGAGGAAAACTCGCGGTTCCCACCGGGGCGATTTTGGGGCAAAAAATCCGATTTTTGGGAGCTTTTCCAAGCTCACCCCTTCCCAAAAAAAAAGGCGAAATTCCATTTTTTTCCCCCACCGAGGGTGTTTTTATTGGGAAAAAAACCCCAAATAAAGCGATTTTCCTCACCTGGGAGGCGAAATCACCTGCGGGAATGAGGAGGGGAAAATCCGGGAATTCCGCCCGCTTTGGGATCTTTTATTTTTGGGTTGATTTTAGGGAATTCCGGATTTATTTCCAAATATTTCCTGCTGGGGGTGGAACAAGCGAGGGGCGGGGCCGATTTCCCAGGTGCGAGCGGTGATTCCTCTGCAGGAAATGATTTTAATTTCATTTTCATTTCATTTTAATTAAATTTTCATTAATTTTCATTAAATTTTCATAAAATTTTCATTCATTTTTTCATTAAATTTTCATTTATTTCGATTTATTTCGGAGACCTGAACGAGCTCGGCCCCGCTCTCGCTAAAAATCACCCCAAAAAATTGGATTTTTTTTTTGGAAAATCTCCCGGATTTTCCAGTCTCTCTCCGCTGGGAAAGCTCCGAGGTGTCCAGACCTCTCTGACATTCCCAGAAATCCCCAAAATTCCCGATTTTTTCCCGTGTTTCTGGCTCAGGTTGGCGATTTGGCTGCGATTCGTGCGACATTCCCAACAAATCCGGGAAAAATCCCAAGATCTGGGGCTCCCAAGAGGATTTTGGGGTGTTGAAGGAACCGGGGAAATTCGGGATTTTCCTCCCCATTCCACTTTGGGAATCCTGGATGAACCCTGGGATAATTCCCAGATTTTTTTTTTTGGTGGGGGGAATTTTGGGAAAGCTCCAAAATCCAGCTCGGATTTATCCAAAAAAAACGGGAAAAAAAACCAATTTTGGATCCCTGGGATCTTCCCAGGCGGGAATTCCGCTCCAAGGAATTCGCTGGAATCCTGAGGCCTTTCAGCCTGACCTAATTCCGGCCTCATTTGCATAATTAATTCCTCCCAGCCTCATTAACCCCATGGGGTTGTTTTCCCAATCAAAGCAGGATTTTGGTGGAATTCCCTTGGGAATTTTGGCTCCTTGGAATCAAATCCCGAGGGGTTTTTGGGGGTCGATGATTCCCGGTTTTCCCAGCCTGTGGAAAATCGGATTTGGAGGCGGTGGATCCTTTCCAGGGATTTTGTTACAGCTGGAAAAAATCCGGGAAGGAGCCTGGGATGAGGCAGAGAGAGGTTTTAAATCTGGGAATTTGGGGTTTCCCAAAGATTTGGGATTTTTTTTTCTCCCCCCCCCCCCAAAAAAAACTTCCCCTCTTTCCTTGGAAAATCCAAAAATATTTTAAAATACGGAAAATTCCCACAAAACTGAGAGGGGGCGGGTTAGGGTTCCCCAAAAAATCCCTGAAAATCCCTGAGAATCCCCAAAAAATCCCTGAAAATCCCAAAAAATCCCTGAAAATCCCAAAAAAATCTCCTGAAAATCCCAAAAATCCCCAAAAAAATCCCTGAAAATCCCAAAAAATCCCTGAAAATCCCAAAAAAATCTCCTGAAAATCCCAAAAATCCCCAAAAAATCCCTGAAAATCCCAGAAAATCCCCAAAAAATTCCAGAAAATCCCAAAATCCCAGAAAATCCAAAAAAAATCCCAGAAAATCCCCCATGGATTCCCTGAAAATTCCAGAAAATCCCAAAAAATCCCAGAAAATCCCCAAAAAATCCCTGAAAATCCAAAAAAAATCCCTGAGAATCCCCAAAAAATCCCTGAAAATCCCAGAAAATCCAAAAAAAATCCCAGAAAATCCCTGAAAATCTCAGAAAATCCCAAAAAATCCCAGAAAATCAAAAAAAAAAAAATCCCTGAAAATCCCAGAAAATCCCCAAAAAATCCCTGCAAATCCCTGAAAATCCCAGAAAATCCCTGAGAATCCCAAAAAAATCCCTGAAAATTCCAGAAAATCCCTGAAAATCCCAGAAAATCCCAAAAAATCCCTGAAAAACCCAGAAAATCCCTGAGAATCCCAAAAAAATCCCTGAAAATTCCAGAAAATCCCAAAAAATCCCAGAAAATCCCCAAAAAATCCCTGAAAATCCAAAAAAAATCCCTGAGAATCCCCAAAAAATCCCTGAAAATCCCAGAAAATCCAAAAAAAATCCCAGAAAATCCCTGAAAATCTCAGAAAATCCCAAAAAATCCCAGAAAATCAAAAAAAAAAAAATCCCTGAAAATCCCAGAAAATCCCCAAAAAATCCCTGCAAATCCCTGAAAATCCCAGAAAATCCCTGAGAATCCCAAAAAAATCCCTGAAAATTCCAGAAAATCCCTGAAAATCCCAAAAAATCCCTGCAAATCCCTGAAAATCCCAGAAAATCCCTGAGAATCCCAAAAAAATCCCTGAAAATTCCAGAAAATCCCTGAAAATCCCAGAAAATCCCCAAAAAATCCCTGAAAATCCCAGAAAATCCCAAAAAAATCCCTGAAAATCAAAAAAAAAAATCACAGAAAATCCCAAAAAATCCCAAAAAAATCCCAGAAAATCCCAGAAAATCCCCAAAAAATCCCAGAAAATCCCGGCAATCCCTGCAGATCCTGGGGCTGCTGATCCTGAGCGTGGGGATCTACGCCGAGGTGGAGCGGCAGCGGCACAAAACCCTGGAAGGGATTTTCCTGGCTCCGGCCGTGCTGCTGCTCCTGCTGGGAATCACCGTGTTCCTGGTGTCCTTCGTGGGAATGGTCGGGAGCCTCCGCGACAACCGGACCCTGCTGAGGATGGTGAGGATCGGCGTGGGCTGGGAGCCCGGGAATTCCATGGATCCGGAGTCAGAACCGTGGGCTGGGAACTTCCAGGAGGGAATTCCATGGATCCGGAGTCAGAACCGTGGGCTGGGGAGCCTGGGGAGGGAATTCCATGGATCCAGAGTCAGAACCGTGGGCTGGGAACTTCCAGGAGGGAATTCCATGGATTCGGAGTCAGAACCGTGGGCTGGGGAGCCTGGGGAGGGAATTCCATGGATCCAGAGTCAGAACCGTGGGCTGGGAATTTCCAGGAGGGAATTCCATGGATTTAGAGTGATAACCATGGGCTGGGAATTTCCAGGAGGGAATTTCATGGATTTAGAGTGATAACCATGGGCTGGGAATTTCCAGGAGGGAATTCCATGGATCCGGAGTCAAAACCATGGGCTGGGAGCCTGGGAATTCCATGGATCCAGAGTCAAAACCATGGTTTGGGAATTTCCAGGAGGGAATTCCATGGATTTAGAGTGAAAACCATGGGCTGGGAGCCTGGGAATTCCATGGATCCGGAGTCAAAACCGTGGGCTGGGAACTTCCAGGAGGGAATTTCATGAATTCGGAGTCATCTCCACGGTTTGGGGAGCCTGGGGAGGGAATTCCATGGATTTGGAGTCAAAACCATGCTTTGGGAATTTCCAGGAGGGAATTCCATGGATTTAGAGTGAAAACCATGGGCTGGGAGCCTAGGGAGGGAAATCCATGGATCCAGAGTCATCTCCGTGGTTTGGGGAGCCTGGGGAGGGAATTCCATGGATCCGAAGTCAAAACCATGGGCTGGGAATTTCCAGGAGGGAATTCCATGGATTTAGAGTGAAAACCATGGGCTGGGAGCCTAGGGAGGGAAATCCATGGATCCAGAGTCATCTCCGTGGTTTGGGGAGCCTGTGCAGGGAATTCCATGGATTTGGAGTCATCTCCATGGTATAGGAGCTTCCAGGGGGGAATTCCATGGATTCAGAGTCATCTCCATGGTTTGGGAATTTCCAGGAGGGAATTCCATGGATTTGGAGTCATCTCCATGGGCTGGGAGGTCTTTCGGAGGGAATTCCATGGATTTGGAGTCATCTCCATGGGCTGGGAGGTCTTTAGGAGGGAATTCCATGGATTTGGAGTCATCTCCATGGTTTGGGAGCTTCCAGGGGGGAATTCCATGGATTCAGAATCATCTTCATGGTTTGGGAATTTCCAGGAGGGAATTCCATGGATTTGGAGTCATCTCCATGGTTTGGGAATTTCCAGGAGGGAATTCCATGGATTTGGAGTCATCTCCATGGGCTGGGAGGTCTTTAGGAGGGAATTCCATGGATTTGGAGTCATCTCCATGGTTTGGAAATTTCCAGGAGGGAATTCCATGGATCCAGAGTCACCTCCGTGTCATTTCCAGGAGGGAATTCCAGGAGGACCCGGAATTCCCACCAGTTTTTTTCCCTCCCGGGGTCCATCCTGGGATGCGAATTCCCAAGGAAAAGCGAATTCCCAAGGAAAAGCGAATTCCCAAGGAAAAGCGAATTCCCAAGGAAAAGCGGCTCCGCCTCCCTGGCCAGGCCGGGGTTTTGTGGGAATGGGGAGGTGAAAATCCGGGAATGAGCAATCAGAGCCTTTGTGCGGATCGGGAATTGGCTTTTCCAGGATAAATCCCGGGAACAAAAGCAATCAGGGAAAGAGGAGCTGGAGGAGCTCTTGGAGCCGAGCTGGGCCCGGCAGCTGCGGCTTTTGGGGCTTTTTATGGAAAAACGAGGAAATTGTGTTTTAAAGGATCCGGGGTTTGAGTTTTAAAGGATTTGGGATCTGAGTTTTAAAGGATTTGGGATCTGAGTTTTAAAGGATCCGGGATTGAGTTTTAAAGGATCCGGGATTGAG